GGGCCAGATACAAGGCTCAAACTCAAGTACTGTGAGATCATGATCTGAACTGAAAGAGTTGCATGCTTACCCAACTGAGCCACCCAGGTGCCCCAAGAAATATCTTTTATATGATATAGGCTTTACTTAAATATATTCTGACCAAATGGTATCTGGACCATTTTTTTCTATGTATCAAAGTACTATATATTGTCATCTGCTTTATATTTTGTTCTCAGTTCATTTTGTTACACTTCAATCGGAATACTCAACCTCTTATAAAGAATCATTTAAATTCCTTACTGCTGATGATGATTTTTCTTATTCAGATTTCAGTTGAGAAAAAATACTGTCAATAAACATTTAACTTAAGATCATAAAAGTAATAAAACACATTATAAAAATTCAAACAGAAGAAATAAACTCACTCATATCCTAGCTCTCTCTCTCCTCCTTTGCAACATTCCAGTCTCCCTAACATAAACATATAGAATTTATTATGATTTACGTTTTGTTCCTGTTGCCATTTTACTTCTCCCTTGCCTTCAGAAATGTTAATGTGGGCAACAGAAGGGTTTTGAATGGGACATGGAAGGAATGACTGACTGAGTGGTTTCTTTAGGAGGATAAAACCTTAAACCCTGGTGTTTCCAGCCTTAGGCTGGAGCAAAAACCTGGCTTTAGGAGACCACTTGCATATGGACAATAGGTATCTCAAGGTTAGTGAGACTGGAGGGCCTCCCCCTGAACATATGCTCATAACATAATGGATATCTGATTAGCCCAATAGGTAGGGGACCAGAATTGGATTGTAGATTGAAGACTGTTACACATACTCTATAGCTTGATCCTCAGACAACAATTTCACAGAAGAGTATACTGTAGAGGCAGAGGTTTGTGCCAGAACACATGATTATTAAGTGACAGGACAGGCATTCTTAAAAAAAAAAAAAATCTAGATTCCTTTCCTTATACTATATTTGGGATGTATACACTTGACATGTATAGGACTGATGCCCCCCCCCCCTTTTCTAAATGTTTATTTGTTTTCAGAGAGAGATAGGGAGCGACTGGGGGAGGGGCAAAGAGAGAGGGAGACAGAGAATCCCAAGCACTGACAGTGCAGAGCGCAACATGGGGACTGAACTCACAAATCTTGAGCCAAAATCAAGAGTAAGACGCTTAATGGACTGAGACACCAAGGTGCCCCGATGTCCTTCTTTATGCTACATATACATGGTACTCTTAGGGTAAATTGTAGCCATGAGGGTTTTAAACATGAGTGATACTGTGTATATTCAAGGCAAGTCATTTAAAGCTTCAAGGACATGAAGGTCAGTAAAAGCTTGGAATGATTAAAACCCTGCACAGTCTTCTCTGAAGGATTTTGGATATTATTAAATTATCAATCTCTCTTCTTCTCTCCCACCCTCCCTCTTTATATTTAGAGTCGATAACTTCATATACAACAGGAATAAAGAGACTTCTGCTTATGACCCTGAGGATCAAGATGGAGATACAGGGACCAGATCTATTCTTCAACCTGACACACAAAACAGTGGAACCATGTGCATGCTCTCAGACACTGGACTGTGGCAGCACCGGACGGTTCCTTAAGAAGGGGAACAAATGAGGTGAGGTCTATAAATGCCCAGCTCACTGTGTGAAGGCAGTTTCCTGGCTGCAATGAGGGGAAGGAGACACCAGTGGAGCCTGGTGAGGAGACAGAGTCAGGAAAGCCTACGTCCAAAGAGGTTGAGGGGCTAAGAATTCACAGAGCAGAGCATGAGAGAGCTGCACAGGGAGGGCCATGGATCTGCAGAGCCTTTCCCCCCTCCCCCCCCACCTCAACTCTTCAATGAGTACAAACCATCAGAGGTTTGTGAGGGAAGCATGAATCACCAGAAAGAACCAGAGGAAACAATTCCTGGGGCTCAGAAAGGGCTGGGAAGTTTGTGATACACTAGTCAGAGTGTAAAACGTCACAATCCAGCAGGTGCCAGATGGGTTACCCAAAATGTACTGCTTTAGTCCTGGAGAAACACTGCTCTGAAACTCTCAGGAAGCTTAAAAGGAAGCCCGAAATGATCAAACTGTTTCTAAGTACTTTTTAGGTAATTTAATTGCATTCCATGACAAAGCTCATATTTATAGAAATGCAAATGGTCCGGCACTTAATGAGGTAGACCTCACCATATTTGGGACCTAATGAAAAATAATGAGGCATACAAAGGAGGCAAGAAAATATCATCCTTAATGAAAAGAGAAAGTAGTTAATAGACGCAAACCAACAAATGACAGAGATGATCAACTCAAGAATATTACAATTGTTCTTTAATTATATCCTATACATTCAAGGAGGTGGAGTATAAGCATATTAAATATAAAAGGCAACAAATAAAAAAAATAGAACTTCTAGAGATGTGCAGTATCTGAGATAAAAAATAAAGTGGAAGGATTAATAACTAATGAACATTGCAGGAGATCAACGAACTTGACGACACAGCAATAGAAACTATCCAAAATGAAATGCAGAGTTAAAGAATGAAAAAGAAAAAAAAGGAAAACAAGGAAAAGGAAAGGAAAAAGGAATTAGGCATCCATAAGCCTGAAGTTCCCAAAAAAGAGAAGAGGGAGAGGCAAACAAAGATTTGAAAATACTGTGGCCAAAATATGACAAAAACTATAAATCCACAGATCTAAAAAGCAGAAACTCAACAAACTCTAGGCACAAGGAAAATGGAAAAAACAACACTAAAGCGAGTCATAATCAAACTCTTTAAAACTAAAGATAGGGAAAATTATGAATGCAGCCAGAGGGAAAAAAGATTAGAAAAACGGCAGAAAAAAATGCAAGCTAGAAGACAGTAGTGTAAAATCTTTAAAATAATAAAAGGAAGGGGCACTTGGGTGGCTCAGTCGGTTAAGCCTCCAACTTCGGCTCAGGTCATGGTATCAGCTAGTGAGTCCGAGCCCCATGTCTGGCTCTGTGCTGACAGCTCGGAGCCTGGAGCCTGCTTCAGATTCTGTGACTCCCTCTATCTCTGTCCCTCCCCTGCTTACCCTCTGTCTCTCTCTCTCAAAAATAAACATTAAAAAAATAAAAAATAAATAAAGTAATGAAAGGAAAAAAACCACCCTGTCAACCTAGAGATTCTATAAATCTTTAAATAAACTGACTTTTTTCAGACATACAAACATTGGAAGAATTTAATAGCAGCAGATCCACATTATCATAAATGTCAAAGTATTTCAGGCAAAAGGAAAATGATAGCATATGGAAATCTGAAACCACATTACGGAATGAAGAGCACTGAAAAAGTAAACAAAAAAGAATTAAAGAAAATTAAATCTCTTTAAAGGATAATTTAGTGGAGCTTCCAGCCACTGACATAATACATGGGATGACTTTGTTCTTTCATCTGAAACAACCAAAAAAATGGCAAAATACTGGAAACATACTTTTTCAAAGTACTGGACATCGGGCAGTAAAAGACAGTGTTCTCTGACAGAAAGGGGAGGAAACGAGGTGAGCCTTATAAATGGCCCCAGCTTGTCCTTGAGAGATATCCCAGGCCACAGAGCGGAGGAGGCTAAGCTTGAAGGACTCCTATGTTGAGAAGCAGAGCTAAGAGTCTGAGTAGATCAGCGTGGCCCGAGTTTGTGAGAAAGGGTCCCAGAGAAGAGGACATTGCACAGAAGGAGAACTCCAGAAACCCAGGGATGGTCTTCCTGGATTACTCAGCAGAGTACTGATCACCACATGTGTGCGAGGAGATGATGTGAAACAAAAGAACCACCCAAAAAGATGAAACGGAACCACAAGGATAAAAAACATGAAAAACCAGCCCAATATATATCACAAGTTCAAAATCAGTGATAAACTCTTAAAAACATCAAGAGTAAAAAAAAAAAATGTAGAAGAACAAAGATAATAACAACAGAAGATTTACTGAGTGAAATAAAGTTAGCAAGAAGATAGTGGAACACCATGTTTAAAATATTGAAGGAAAAAATGTTAAGCCAGAATTTCATACCTAGTGAAAGTATCTTTTCAATACTAATGCAAAATACAGGCTTCCTTAGACAAAGAAGCTGAAAGAATCCATTGCCAGCAAATTTGTACTGGAATTATTTAAAGGATGTTCTTCAAGCAGAATGAAAAGGATCTCAGAGAGATATTATCAGCACAAAAATAACTTAAGAGCACCGGAAGTGGTAATTACACAGGTAGATATATAAGATTTTTTTCCTCATTATTAAGGTTGATTTAAAGGAAAGCTGACTTTAAATAAGAGAGTATTAATGTGTTGTGAGATTTATGGTACATGCTATTTACAAGTAAAGTGGGAAAAATAGCATAAAGACCAGGAAGGGGAAAATGGAAGGTTCTTGTATGTAAGTAAGTACGTGTATGTAAGTATGAGGTGGTATAATAAACTTGCAGGTACACTGTCATGAGATAAAAGAAATCTCCAGGCTCAGATGGTTTCACTAGAGAATTTCAACAAAAATTTAAAGTAAAAATTAATACCAATTCTATGCAATTTCTCCCCAAAAAATAGAAGAGGAGAAAACACCTCAGGTCAGTATTACCCTGATACCAAAACCAGACCAAAAAAAGTACTAAACAAATTAACAACAAAACTTCAAGCCAATAAACCTTCATGAATACAGACAAAATAATAAACAGCATATGCTCTCTGGCCACTATGGATTTAAGTTAGAAATCAATAATGAATACATCTAATATATTCCCAGATATTTGGAAACAAAAGAGGACACTGTTTTAAATAAAATGCCATGTTAAGCCTTTTCATGTTTTCTCATTGCCCTTACCTGAACTAACTTTATATTATTTTTTAAATTTAATCATTTAATTATTTCAAGGTCTGCAAATATTTACAAATGTACCCGGAAAGTAATACACAGATGTCTGTCTAAATTAATGTTTACCATTTATAAGATGAGGCTACTCTCTGTGGTGCTAAGCATTTCAATAAATAGTAAATAAGTAAATGTGATATTAATATTTTAATTATCACTTATCAAAGTATAATTTGGCAGTAAAACCCACTTTTCACAAAGACATTACAAGTAGATCAACAAGTCAATCTTGATTCATTCATTTTGCTTTTCCATTTCTCCTGGAAGCTTTTTAAGTATCCATGACTTAAGTTTTTCTAGCTCAGCTTTGCTCAGCTCATGGTAAACACCTGGGAAACTGTGGAACATTGTGCTCACTCCTAGGGACTTTAAGATTGAGTTTGTCTCTTCACCCCAAGAGTGAGGAACTAACTCATCTGTAGTACCGTGACACTGGAATAATTCAGGGAGTACACCATCACTTTCCTGAAGAGCCTACAGAACAGGATATAAAAATGGAAAAGTTTAAGAGACTCCTTTAAGAACATCATCTTGGAAATCAGACAGAGCAGAAAACTTCCAATTTTTAAAGGGAAACATGGTGGTGCGGTGTAAGGTGTACACTGGTGGTATTGGCCTGGGGACTCAGCTGGTTGCTGGCACCCTGTGAGCTATGGCTGTCAGTGACCAGCACTGACTCCACAAAGGACCATCTCAAACACAGTCAAAGCGCTTCCTGAAGAAACTGTGTGACTCTGTAAGACACACTTTACATGGAGAGTGGAGAGAGAGAGGAATACCGGGATAGTCAAGGGAAGAGTTACATTCTAGTTTTCATTTCTGTACCTGCTGTTTTTACTTCTGGTATGAAGTTACGACACTATAATACTGTATTCGTATATATTAGCATGTTGCTATGAAACAGCTGTCAGGAATGTAATCGATCATTTGTTTCGATTACGTTCATGACATAAAAAACATACCTGGCTCTAATCATCTATATTTTTATTATTTATAAGGGATACAGATGATTTGTATCCTTTCCTCTTGAACACTATGCTTAACAATATTCTTTCTATGGTATTTCCTGAACATGAATGACTGGATGGAATATTCAATATGACTAACTGGGGATGGGTCCCAGGAGTTGTCTGTGTGTCGACTGTTATTGCTTGATTATAAATTTTGTTTTAATTTCAATGTGTGATTATTTCACACTCTTTTGTTTTGTTTTTAAAATCTGGAACTTACCTGGTAAACAGCAGATGTTTTATTCAGAAAACTAGAAAGAGCAAATACTCCTGCCACATCTTGATGATTTCTATATGCTAAATGCATTGCCATGCACCCTCCCATAGAAAATCCTCCTGAAAGAAGCAAATATTCACTTCATCACAAAATGTCAGAATATATGCAACAATAACTTAGAACAAGATACATCTGAGCCAGTCTTCCATGCATGTTTTAAAATATGTGGAGATACAGTGCTAAAAAGAAAATTAGTCTACTTTAGATCTCATTAAAAAAAAGTACTGCAATGCATAAATGACACTGGCCCATCTATGGCATCATTGGTAAAGAGACTTGTTTTAAAAAGAGCTGGAATTAAACAAAGAAATCATGTTCAACAAGTAAAAATATTTATCATAATTCAAAATATGAGTCATAGTACAAGTGTTATTTATTTAAACTTCTAATGTCTACTTACATTTTGCTTATACTTGTGTTATAGGAGTCCTTACGCTGCAACCAGAATTAATAACATGTATTTTTCTGTCTTCCTTGCCAAGCTCCGAGCCCCATGAGGAGTTAAATTTCTAGTGTCTGCCATATAATAGATGCTTAGTGATTTTTTAGGGAAGATGATCAAAAATTTGGTGAGCCTGTTAAAACATCTCTAAATTACAATATCATTTTGGAAACTGATTTGTGATGGTATAATTCAAATGCACGTACCTATATAAACTTTTTCAAGTTTATAAATAAATAAATATTTATTTATAAATAAAAACAATAAAAACATAATTTACTCATTTAACAAACTTTTATTGTCTTTTATGTGCCAACCACTGTGCTGGTCACTGAAGATAGGCAGTCTAAAATACATGCTCCTGTGCTCCCTTCCGTAGCACATACAGGAAAATACACGGGCCCTTCTCCTCAAGGGGGCGCCAGAGACATCACAGGATATGGAGACCAGTACATGACCTGGTGGCCCACCTTCAGGCTAGAGACCTGGGATGCCATTCCGCACCCTGAGTGAGAGTTAAAAGGTGTTTTATTTACATTTTGTGAGAAATATAGAAAGTGAATCGCATAGCCACACACCTATGGAAAATCAAGAATACACACTGGCACAGAACCCAGATCTCCTCACTTCCAGCCTCTTGCTTTATTTCACTCAACAAAGTGTAAAGCTGAATCCTTAGAGACTATAAATTTGAATTTACTATAATCTACTTTTACAGATGAAGTGGACGGAGGCCCAAGATTAGGTGACCTGCTTAAGGATGCACCTCTAATTTTAGCTGTAGAGCTAGGACTTTTGGAATCTAGATCGCTTGCAAGAGACTTTAATGTACTCTCTACTATCCTCTGGTATTTATTAAAACAGAACTGCTTTTAAATTTTGTTTATGTATTTTATATTTTATTTATTTACTTAATAATGCTTAATAGTATTACTGGGCCAGCTGACAGTATCATTTTGGACCCAGGATACAATGTATGAGTGAAGATTACTAGGTTGGGAAAGTTTAGGTTTTTAAGAAGTGCATAATATGTAAATAATTACAGTGTATGATAAATATTACATCTGTGGTTTTCAACATACCAGAGGGAAATAATAGGGTCTCATCAGTAGCAGAAGTGCACCATGGATGAAAACCACTTGAAAGGCTCTTTCAAAATAGCCCCCACACCAGCCACGGATGCAGATATGGCTAATTAAAGATCATGAATGGGCTGAGCAGGGGCAGAGGCAGTATGCACATCTTAAAATTGACTGTGAAAGTTGCATATGTGCCTCAAATTCCCAGAAAGGTTAAAAACCACTGGGCTCTGGGGTGCCTGGGTGGCTCAGACTCTTGATTTTGGCTCATGTCCTGATCTCATAGTTCGAACGCTAGGCAGAGATGAGCTCTGCACTGACAGCCTGCTTGGGATTCTCTTTCCCTCTCTCTCTCTGCCCCTCCCCCATGGGCGTGTTTTCTCTCTCTCTCTCAAAATAAATAAACCTCAAAAAAAAAAAAAAAAAACACTGAGCTCCAATTACCTATGAATGTGTAGATTAATGAACCTTGGGCATGCTCCATTTGGATATGAAGAGCTTACTACTAAAGACAAGATTAGCGTTTCTGATAAACATTTACTGTAAGTAAAAAGAAAGAATTCTAAACTTCCTGGGTTTTGTCCCAGTTCTAGTTATAGACTTTTCTTTGCTTCTCAAGGTTTTTGATGTAATACAGTATGTGGGTTATAAAGCAAATGATTCTTTAAATACAACTATCATGTTGTATTAATAAATACATAAATAAATATGTTTTAATTTATTAAATATAATTTAATTATATTTAGATTGGACTCTAGATTGGACTCTACAAGTGATCATTAAGCATTTGTATATTACAGATTTAAAAACCAGTGGTTAAATCTTTGAGGGTAAGAAACAGTTCTTTCTTCCAGCATCACATCGTGCTTGCGAGCTCACGAGGGAGCTCAGCAAACTGTCTCCACTGTCTGGTGAGCACGTGCTGAGGAGGGGGCCTCCCCATTTCACCTTCTCCGTGGTGAGTACAGTTGCTGGTACACAGTGACAACTCAATACAGTCTGTTTAGTTAGAAAGCATATATTATGGGATGAGAATAATACAAAGTTTACAAATATCTCTTAAATGTATCATATTTAAAAGGACATGACACATTTTCTGATTCAAAGTCTGGTGGAGAGAGGACCCTGTGGAAGTAAAGGAAACTGAGTTCCAATCCTACCAGTGACACTGTAGCTGAGCATCTTTGGGTAATTACTTAAAATCCAGGATCTCATTTCCAATCAGATTAGATAGTTGCACTCCTGGATCTCTATGGTCTCCACCAAGTTTTTAAATCTATAATATTTCAATGTTCAATAATCACATGCAAAGTTGAAGCAAGGACTTTCAAAGTTTACAGTTACTGTAAAAACAGAAGCCTACTTTCAGTTTGAGAATAGGAATCCACATCTTGCAGAATAAATTTTAGTAAAGTTCACAGAACAAATCTTAGCAAACGTTTTCTTCCTTTGTTGGTTCAGATCTCCCCTTTCCCCAATTTACTTACAAAATGAACTTCAAGGTTGCTTATAAGCAAACATGCTCTTAACAATAAAACTACATCTCTAAAATGAGGGCAAAACGTGAGGGAGGCCAGAGGGGGTTGCTGGAAGAATGAGAGATCCAGAAGGAACGAGAAAGAGGGACACAGACCATAATATGGGGGAGCAGCAGCAACTAGGGGTGCACCTCAACTTCCAACTGCTTCCCTGTAGCAAAACAGCATTCTTCAACAGAAGGCATCATGCCAAATCACACTAGAAACTTCCTAGCACTGAGTTCTTGGGTGGAATTTATCAAGTAGATAGATCTTCATTGAACATAAAACTCAAAACCAGACATTTTACATATAGCCAATTCTGTTCTTGATTCTTTTATAAAAAGTCCAGGAGATAAAGACAACATTCAGTAGTCTAAGAAGGTTCATGTGAACAGGGGTTTTTGTCTGTTTTATTCACTGATGTACCCTCCCCATGCTTAGAATAATGCCTGGCACAGAGTAGGCACTTAATAAGTATTGCATCAAATAAGTGAGTAAATGTCAATTGTGGTCCCATAAGAATATTTCCGTAAGGGGACAAATTTATATCATCAGGAAATATAGCTGTCTGGTGATCTGAATTGATAATACAAGTAAAGCTTAGAAAATGCAGGAGTAAACTGTTAGTGTGTCCTAGGCTAATGATTCCTAAATCTGGCTCCTTAAAAATAGAGATTCCCAGACTCAGCCCTAGACCCACTAATGCAATCTCGAAGTGTATGTCTAATTTTTAAAATCTCTTATACCCATCATGCCGGTCAGAGTGGCTAAAATGAACAAATTAGGGGACTATATATGCTGGCGAGGGTGTGGAGAAACGGGCACCCTCTTACACTGTTAGTAGGAATGTAAACTGGTGCAGCCCCTCCGGAAAACAGTATGGAGGTTACTCAAAAAATTAACAATAGAACTCCCCTATGAACCAGCAGTAGCACTGCTAGGACTTTACCCGAGGGATACCGGAGTGCTGATGCATAGGGGCACATGTACCCCAATGTTCATAGCAGCACTCTCAACAATAGCCAAAACATGGAAAGAGCCTAAGTGTCCATCAACTGACAAATAGATCAGGAAGATGTGATTGTATAGACAATGGAATACTACTACATGGCAATGAGAAAGAATGAAATCTGGCCATGTGTAGCAACATGGATGGAACCTGAGGGTGTTATGCTAAGCAAAATAAGTCAGGCAGAGAAGGACAGATACCATATGTTTGCACTTATAGGTGGATTAGGACAAACTTAACGGAGGACCATGGGGGAGAAGAAAGGGGAAAATAGCTGGGGAGAGGGAGGGATGTAATTCCATGAGAGACTCTTGAATGCTGAGAACAAACTGAGAGCTGATGGGGGTGAGAGAGGGGGGAGGGGGGTGATAGGCATGGAGGAGGGCACTTGTTTGGGATGAGCACTGGGTATTATATGGAAACCAACTTGACAATAAACTATTTAAAAACATAAAATGTAGAGTGTTACACAGGGAAAAAAAAAGCTATTATACCCATAAATCAAATGTATGAGAATCATAGTCTTAGAAAAATATCAACAGTTGCAAGGCAGACAATTCAGACTTAGGTACTGTGGTCAAGACAGAAAGTGAAAATATGGCCATGATTTAAAAGAAATCCCTATAGGGGTGCCTGGGTAGCTCAGTTGGTTAAACCTCCGACTTCAGCTCAGGTCATGATCTCTCAGTCTGTGAGTTCAATCCCTGCGTCGGGCACTGTGCTGACAGCTCAGACCCTGGAATCTGCTTTGGATTCTGTGTCTCCCTCTCTCTCTGTCCTTCCCCCTCTTGTGCTCTCTCTGTCTCTCAGAAATAAATAAATGTAAAAAAATAAATACATAAATAAAATAAATGAAAAATAAAAAAAGTAAAAGAAATCCCTATGTTATAGATAACCAAGGCTATAGGAACAAAGTTTTATTTTTTGGAGTAATGCAAGAGCTTGAATTATATTTTTGCCAAATGTATCTAAGGAACATATTAAATGTGATCAGTGTGACTAAGGAACT